TTTTTTTTTTTTTTTTTTTTTTGCTTCTTCCTTTGAAATACTGAAGCTCTTTGCTTTATTGTTTGGTGCATTTATTCCTTTCGTTATTGTGAGTATTTCATGCATTTGTTTGTGAATCTGTGATACATGTTATGTCTTACGGATGACTTGTCCATCCAAATTTCAGGAAAGTGAAAGTGAGAAAGAACTTCTTGATGAAGGCTAAGAATATATTTGTGACGGAATTAATATCAAATCTTCATGAAAAGATACAAAGAATATAGACGACAAATGACAAGTGAATTAATTCGAATTAACTTAGGAATATTTTACGAATGAATTTATTTAAAATTTACATATATTTATTTTCAACATTAAAACCGCACTAGTAGTTGTAAAAGACCGGTACTATCAATAATATAGCCTTCAACAGTAGAATAACAATAACAATAATAATTTTCAGTGGGCAAGCCAAATTAAAGGTAGCCCAATTCTAGATTTGGGCTTAGGAGGTAAACCCAAGTTCGGTCCATCTCACAAAGAAAAAGGATTACCATCTCAAGAGACCAAGGTAACATAGACCTTCTTTCCCAAAATTCAAATAAAATATATGATTATACTAAGTCAAATTAAATTAAAAATTAGTTTAAACATCTATAATATATTAAATATCGTATCAAATAAGAATCATTTTTTATACGATTCTAACCCTATTATAATTCAATTATTTTAACAATACCTTACTTTTCATTTTTTTTAATATGTATTTAATTTATTTAACCATTTATTTACAATCAATTTACATGTATATTTGACAGATTAATTTCACTTGTGTGCTTTCATTATTGTATGAATTCTAAACTAATTAACATTCACGTTCATTTAATTAATACGTATATTCATTTATACATTTCAGTGATATTACTTCTAATTATAAGTTAATTAAAATTTCACATTCAAGAATGCATTTCATTATTCACGTCCATGTATACTATTTAACATACAATTTTACTTAATTAGAAATTAAAGAAATTATTTAATATTTGCCACATATATATTCCTTAGTATTAATTCTAAACTAATTAAGATTTATGCATATTCAAATATTACTTTTAAAGCACTTATAAAATATTTCATAACAACGTGCAACCCACGTCCAACATTGACAAGCTTTAGCAAATATCTGATTGACAATTTTACTGTGCTAAAAAGTAAGAAAGTTCGAATTTCGTTTAAAGTGTTTCAAATTTAAAATTTTGAAAATTTGGGGAGAAAAAAAGAAAATTAAAAGTTCAATGGACCGTTTGGTAAGGCTTTAAAAAAGTCGAAAATTACTTCTGAGAGTAACAAGTTGCTTTTGAATCTATTTGAATAATTTTCTGAAAGTATTTTATCTTATTAAAATAACTTTTAGATGAAATTAGCCAAAAATAACTTCATCAGGAAACTCTCCAATAAAAATCAGAAACAAGAGCAAAAAATCTGCCAAACAAACCCTAAGTCGGTGAATAAAATTATTCGGTCAGCTCATTGAAATGTGATCCATATTTAATAGAAAAAGTGTTCCCAGTCATTTTGATAAAAGCAATTGTGAAATTTTGGAGTTATGTTGAGGAAAAATATTGAAATGGCGGTCCACTTCAGCTTCAACCCATCAACACCAATCTGAACGGACCGTATGGGCCCATTGGACCAACGTGGTGGTCACGTTGACGTTAAAATTCGGTCTTCACAAATAAGTCAATATTCTTACTTTATCATTGTATTAATTCATTAATAATCTCTAAAAATCAAGTTTTCACATTTCTTTGTGATGCGACTTTCGAGTGTAGTTCCATTGAGTTCAGATGATGGGTAGAATTGAATACTAGTTGAATTTTGACATTTCAAGCTAAACAGATTTTCATATATCGAACAGATTGTTCGACCTTAGGAGACATTTATGTTCAGAGTAACTGTAAAGTTACAATATTTTGTATCTAGTTTCTCTTTTCATTCATTTTGTTTCAAGCCACATTCTAGATGATGTAGATTGAAAAAGATAAACTTAGCCCCCGTTTGTTTCTTCTATTAAGCAAAATTTGGACCGTTGCTACAGTGAATTAGCCTCAACAGTGGACCATTTTGTGTCACAGTGGGCTCCACTTTTTTGGAAAAAAAGGGTCAAAAAATTAATTTTCTTGCTGAAATAATGTGAAACAAATAGGGACTTAATAGGTAATTTACTTGAAAAGATTAGCTAGAAGAGTAAACTAGATTGGATTGTCTAGTCCTTGATTTCAAGACTCAAAATTAATTAAATCTTAACTGGAACTAGATCGGAGAAGGCCAATCAATTCGATCTTGTTCCAATCTATTTCAATTGGTTTAGAGATATTTGTTTGACCCATAAGACTTGTAATACCGACTTACCGAAAAGACAGACTATTTTCCACCATCGATCCACCCAACTAAGGCTAGGCCGCTTCAATCCTGTTATCTCATGAAATCGATAAATGTACCTTAGTGTGTGTGATATAAAATTACTTGAATAGTGTTGACACACAAAATGTGCAGCCTAATTCAAATGGCCCAAAAGAAGAAGTCCATTTAGAGAGATCAGGGTAAAAGACCGACCAAGAATGTCATTAAATATGATGAAAACCCAAAAACAAAGATACGTCTTCGCCTAAGTCTGCAGTACGCCCAGATATTGAACGAATGAAATATCATATAATTGTCCCGAGCGAAAGACCAATTGTCGCCCAAAAATGTTAAATCGCCACTAAAGCTTATTGTTATCCAAAGTCACGATTTAAGGCGGTTTGAGTACATCACAATTAAGTCCCACGATTTGAGAAAGTTGGTGACAAAC